ACAATGGGGTTTCAAAAGCTTCAGTCGATTAACAGGAAGAGAAAGGCGGAGAGATTTCTTTGGGTTTTCGATACATTTTGCAAAAAAGAAGGAAGAGCGGCAGTTTTGCCATAAAAAATGTATCAAAGGCATTTCCCATACGGCGGATGCACCTCATATTTTACTGCCCTTTTGTTATATTACCTTGCAAAAGATGCCTTGTCTATGATATTCTACAAAAGAGTTACCTTTTGTTGCTAATAGAGGTCAAAAGCTACCTCTTTGTGCTAGAATCCTGTTTTTTTAAATTATCCTTAAGGCTTAGAAAATTGACTAACTATCTTAAACTATCCCTACTGTTCGTGATAATTATTGAGTAAATTTTTTAAACTAGCCTTATAGTTTATAGTTTAGTTAATGAATTAAATGTATTCTTATTTTTTAAAATTGATTAATATTATCTTTATTGTTTCTGACAATTATCTAAAACTTTCCATACTATTACTAAACCGTACATATGTGACATTGATCGTTATATTTTTCAAAAATCCCTAATATACCCTTGGTCGAAAATCCAACCGTTCCAATATGCACAAGCGCTCTTCTTGATGATCGCAGTACTGCAGAGGTTTTTTCGACCAAGCCTAGTTTAGGACCTCATCACCGACTACTAGTAGTGTTCGAACTGTAAGCAGCTAACCGCGTAGTTAGGGCCTTCATGTGCAATGGATGCACTTGAACCCAGTCGGAGTTACATGAAATGAGATATCGAGGATAACTCAGATATGAAGGATGAAAGGATTGTAGACGAGGAAGACTAGGAAGGCAGTGACACGAGGAAGCACTGTTCTAGCAAGTCGAGAAAGCATAGCAATGTAGAAGAAACTGAAGAATGGGATAGTAGTGGCAAATGGAAGAGTTTAGGGGACAAATGAAAATCGAAAGAGGTCAGGTGGCTCAAACAGGGCGAGTAGTGAGGATGAAGATGAATATGATACAAGAAAAAAGTAGATGAAAAAAATATCAAGTAAAAAGAATTCAAGCAATGGGTATGAAGATAGAGAATCAAAACCTTCAGCTCATGAAAATTCTCATGATTGCGAGTTTGAAAAGATGCATGATAGAGATTCTAGGTATTTGGAGTTTGATTCATGCTCCTTAAATAGTTTATGAAGAGGTATGAAACCCCCATATTCACCTCTACTATTTTTAAAGCATGTAAATAAGTTCCAATAAAATATTGAAAACAAAGTTTATAATTTTTCATGGGATAAGTTTAAAATTGGGTTTTGTAAGAGAAAAACTAATTTTTTAATCAAATGTGTAGGTGCAATTACTCATGTAATTGATCAATCAAACCAATTGAATTTTAATCTATTACATATGCAATCAAACAAACCCAAACCAACTCTGTTGGACTCTATCTTTCTCTCTCCTCTTATTCGTCTTCTCTACAATCGAACAGAAGAAGGCTCTCTCTCTTTCTCTCCCCTCCACACCTCCTTCACTTTTTTGGTTTGGGGTGACGACTGATTACAGGCTTAACGCCGGTGAGGATATGGGTCCCTGGGGTGAGGTGACCTTCTCGCCATGACCTTCACCGAAATAGACATGGGTTAAGCAACTTATCCCAGGATTCGAAGCATTGAAACAAGATCGAAGCTCAACGCTTACCGACTGTTCACTTTCTTCTTGCTCTCGACATCAAGAGGAGATATTTTGGTTTCCATTTCCCCCTCTCTCCTCTTCTCCCTCTTTTCCTATTTTCGTTTTATGTTCTTTCCTCATTCTCTTTTTCTCTTCTTGTTCCCTTCCTATCACCCTTTTCTCTCAGGTCATTTTCAACCCCTGAACTCGAACCATACATGGAAGAGATCTCACAACGTCTCACGACTCTTCTTCTTCTCAAGAGTACGAGAGCGGAATGCTTAAGACCTTGTACGAAATTCCGCAGAACCTCTTGGGTTTCCAGGGAGGACTGGCGGAGTTTCTCGCCTTTTTGTAGAGTACTTCTATAAGGTTTCTTTGTTCAGCAACACAAAGGAATTTGGGTGCATGGGAAGCTAAATGGACCTCAAAAGCATTTAGCTGCGTTGACATGCCTCTCTTCGTGTCAACGCCATCGCAGCTACAACTTCAAGCAGCAGTTTTTTTTTTTATGGTTGCTCCCCCAATCTCTCTCTCTCTGTTTCCCTTTTGCTCTTTCGCTCTTTCACTCTTCGAGCCGCTTTCTGGCATAGCCTTGGGCATTCAACGAGGCGTGTGTCTTGGCCTGAGCATAACCTCGGGCGAACCTGAGCATAGGATTTCTCCCAAGAATACTCAGATCTCGAACTGAGATCGTCTAACGAGCTTCAAGTTTAAACTCAAATCTGGAGCCTGGTCTGATGTGTGACTCCCACTCTCTCCGACCACCGGCATCTTTTTAGGGTTTCTCCCAAGAATACTCAAATCTAGAGCCTGAGATCGTCCAGCAAGCTTTGAACTCAAATCTGGAGCCCGATCTGATGTGCACGAAGAAACGGGAGCTTCATCTAAAGGCAAATGTGTTTTTGTTTCGATAAAAAAAAATGCTCGTAAATTGCTTTTCAATGTAAGGGCAGAAATGAATTTTCATGTGCCTCTGTTACGATTTGCAGCAACAATTCCCATAAACAGGAATAGTTTAAGAAATTTGACTCAAAATAAAATGAAATCCAAATGCCAAATGAATCAGAATTTTGCATTTTTATCATTTACGCTCTTGTAAGTACGAATTTTCTCCTCACAAATCACTTCTCAAACCAATCTCACAAGTCACAACATACCCCAGCCGTATATCAGGAACATTTACCATATTTATATGTTATTATTTATAGGAAAATGTTTCTAATAAATGATGGAATGTTGCTGTGAGGTTGGTGCCAAGAGCGTTTGGTAAGTAACAAGTCTCAATTCCTTTCATGTATTTATATAAATATATTAATGCAAATAAAATTGTACTTCAAACAAAAACAAATGAAGTATACAATGTGTAGACTCTATACTTTTTCTCGACATCCAAACAAATTGATATTATACAGAAAAAATTCTGAAAGCATGAGAAACGGCCAAGAAACTACATTTATCAAAACCATGATCAGTTTATGGGGTGTTCAACATTTATTATTTCATTTTTCTCGAATCCAAAAGAAAAGAGGTGACGTGACAGTTGCTCTTGTTTTGAAGAACAAAATTGGCAACACCATCATAATGTACAGTTTTAGGTGCTCAAGTAAATGTAAATCACAATTAGTAAAAAAGGACAATTTTTTGTTCTGAATATTAATAAAAGATAATTTTTTTATAAAATAATAAAGTATTAACTTTTTTTTAAAATATCAAAGAAAGGCAATGACACTGTTTATCGCTTTCTTATTCCCGAAAAAACGGAAAACCGAAAATCACTAACAGTAAATCAGAAATGGATGAAACCAGCACGAGCAATGTTGAGATACCTACGTTTTCCTATACGGACGAAAGTAGGTAACGGACGAACCTGATTTAGTAACGAGCCTGATTTCGTCGATAAACCAGTTATCCGTAAGGTAACGGAAAACCAGGTTCTCCGTTTCCTCGTAACGGACGAACCTTATAGATTCCTTCAGAACAAGCAGGCATCTCTACCAGTACGGGGAACCTGGTTTACCGTTCCAGATTTTCTGTCTTTTACCGCTAAGAACAAGCAGGCGGCCATGTTCCTACCTCCATGATGTTTTCGTCGCATAAGGAGAGGACGTGATATTTCATTTCGTCCATTACCTGCTTCAAGAGCGTCGATGAACAGTGTATTCGGACGTGATGTTTCATCGGAACGGAAAACCGCCAAGAACAACCCGTTCTCTTCAAGCTTAAGTATCCTGCGATGAACAGTATCATTGCTATTGATATTTTTCAAAAAAAAGTTATTTTATAAAAATATTATCTCTTATTAATATTCAGGGCAAAAATTTGTCTTTATCTATTAGAAAATGCTGAGAATAAAATGAAGGGCAAATTCTTGATTCCCCACCTATCAAATTTGATACAATTTGAAAGGTGTAGATGGGTGATAAACTGATAAAGGGGGATTTTGTAAAAAAAAATAAATAAATAAAATTTTGTAAGGTGAGATGAACTATAATTTTCAATTGAAAGTTGAATAGATGTTTAATGACATAATTCCTATACGAAAAAGGTTACATACAACTTTGAGCGAACAAGAACGGGAAGAATTTATCGGGCCATTTTTAGGCCAAAGCAATTTGTGGCATAGATCTCTAGAAGATTCTTTCATCTTTCATTTGCTGTGTTTATCATTTACTAGAAGACTCTATTGGTCTACTTCTTTTTCTAAATTTAAATAACGTTACATGTAGGAGTATATAGGAGCCAAGCTGAGTTAAATATTAGACTATTTTAATTCTTAATGGTGAATTAAGATTTACATAAAAATAAAAATTATATATAATCATACATATAAAATTAAAAACATTATATATAAATTTGATTAGATTTGTGAGATTCATACTATTTAAACTCAGTTCAATTTAACAATTGAGCTTATATTTTTTAGTGGCAGGGCAGGAAAATAATATATAGACCTAAGCCGCCTATATATTAAGCTTGATTATTTGGATGGAATTCGGCTAAATAATACAGGGAAAGCGAAAACTTTTGAGCAACTTGAATGACTTGCAAATAGTTTTCTTTTAACTTCGTTTGGGATTGGAATCTACTTAACAAAATACATCAATAAACACCCTGTATCAGCATAATTCCCTTTGGACACCGATCAGACGGTTAACAAGTAAGACACTGCATCGGACAGCATGTTGAATCAATACATGTAACAGAATCAACAGATATTTTGTCGAAGAAAAGTTAAAATAAAAGGTTCTTTCAATCCTTCCAATGAGTTCATCAGTGTTGACGCTGACACCGTGTGACCGTGTGTGTGGGGACAACAAGGACAACAACTTGCTCCAACTAGAATTAACTTAATCTCAAAAACCATTGTATTCCGTTCGCTCTCAAAACCGCAGGTCCGCAGCCAGAACGAAAATCTGCGGAACCAAAACCAGAAACCGCCAAACCAATTCACCTTCTATAAGAAACCATTCATCGAACACCATTTCTGCATAGTTATCAGTTCTAGCACACTCGGTTTTATTTTTGTCGTCAACACAACAATCTCTTGTTTGTCGAAGCAGATTCAGGGATCCGGCTTCCGATGGCTGATTTTGAAGCGAAAGAGCGGAGGGTAATGGTTGCGGTGGACGAGAGCGAGGAGAGCATGTACGCGCTGTCTTGGTGTCTCAAAAACCTCATTCCTCCAGATGCACAGACTACCCTCATCCTCCTCTACGCAAAGCCCCCTCCTCCCGTCTACTCTTCTTTGGATGGCACAGGTTATTTGTTCGCTAGTGATGTAATCGCAACCATGGAGAAGTACAGTAGAGATTTGGCCGATTCCGTGATGGAGAGAGCTGAAGCGATTTTCAAGAATCACAGCAACGTAAGTTTCTATGATTAAACCAAATGTTTTCTTTGAAAATAGGAGTTAAAAACTAAAAATTTAATCAATTTAATGATGCAGATCAAAGTAGAGAAGAAAGTGGGGAGCGGAGATGCGAGGGAGGTGATATGTATGACGGTGGAGAAATTCGGAGCTGACCTGTTGGTCATGGGAAGCCATGGCTATGGCTTCTTCAAGAGGTGCGTAGCAATTTGCGTTTGTCCATGTTCGTATTCAACGCTAAATGGATTGTAATCGACTAATTTCTTCTGTGTTTGTGTGTGCAGGACTGTTCTAGGTAGTGTGAGCGATTACTGTGCAAAGCACGCCAAGTGTCCCGTCTTGATTGTGAAACGACCCAAGAATTGATTCTATTTTTTGGGAACATTTGGGCTTGGGCTTGAGAAATCTAGGTTGGGTTAGGATTGGGCGGTGCATGGTGTAATTATAATGCAGATTGGAACCTAACTGATATGATTGTATATGATGTCTATTTGTGTGTATGTATTATGTAGTCCAATGGATATTCCATCTTCCATCACGCCATCTAACGGTCGTTTTACATTATTGTTCCCAAAATTAGCAAAAAATAAAAAAAAAATAAAAAAGAAGAAATCTGGATTCAATGGTTTTGTTTGTACGTGACAATGAAATATTTGGATAGAAATTTATTTAAAGTACACAACATCACGGTCTAATAATGGTGCTGAGGCCGGCCATGCGTTACTCTGAACTTTTTTTTTGGGGGGGGAGAATGACGGTTCAGCCATGGTGAGAATTCCTAGGCCCAAATTACAGTTGAGGTTGGTGCTAGTTCAGTTTGCAGTGAAATTTAGAAATTTGTAATAAGTTTATTTGTATTTTTTTTCGTTTTTTTTTTTCTGGAGAAGTAAGGATATGCCCCATGCAGATCTTTTATTTGTACTGTAGAATTATAAACATTTAAAATGTTAAAAATCCCTTTTTATATATCAATGTGGTGGTACCCAACTCAACTATACTTTAGGTCTAAAAATTCTGATTCTGGATTGAACCGTCATTCTCCCTTTTTTAGGCTTGAAGCATGGACAAGTAATATTAGGCGAGGTTATTAAATAGGCTTTTATTTCAACATTGGTGACACCAAAACTATTTTGAAAGAATGAAATTAAAGGAAATGTTTCTAGATTTATCCCCGAAACAATTTTTCCGCCAAAAGATTCAAGAGGAAGGCTTTTCTGAAATCGACGGGGAACGCTTTTGAGATGGGCTGCGCTTGAGGCCCATGAGATGGCTAAAAGCTTGTTGCATTATAAACTATTATAATGGAAAAAGAAAAAATAATATGTATTCTGTGAAAAATATGGAAAAATAGAAATCAGAAAGTGCCAAAAAAGTGGTTGCCCCACTTCAACCAGTTATTGACAAGGCCCTTGATCTGTTTAGAGAATACAATGAAAGGCATGTTGAGACCAATATTGATAAAGTGGATAAATCTTGGAAGACACTTATTTAAAAATCTCCCAATATCGATCATATCAAGATCAACTTAATGGGGGAGGGGGGGTTGCTCGGTTGTGAGCATTGCTAAAGATCATTTCGGGAAAGTCTTAGACATCAAGGCTTACAAGCTTGGCACTGCTTCAATTAACATTGCAGAAACTTGGGTGGCTTGGAAAGCCCATAATTTGGCCTTGAATTTTAGAGATTATCCTATCATTATCGAAGGTGATTTCAACCTTGTTATTTCCTGTTTCAAGCAGAAGTTCCCAATTCCTTGGAAAATAAGACACATCATCAAGAACTGCATCAAGTTAAAGGATGAGTTTCGAAGAGGTCTAGCATATATGCATATCTATCCGGAGGCAAACCAAGTGGCTGATTGACTGATGCACGAAGTTCTATCTGCTCCAACGGAGTCCGTTAATCTTAGTTTAGCTTCTCTTCATTCCCCTCTTTTTTCTATTTGTGTTGCTAATAGTCTCTTGCATGCAGGAAAGCTAGACTGGCTCGTTAATGAAGGTTAGGGTGAGACTAGTAGGAATAAGGATCTTTTGTATATTTGTTTTCTTGATGTGTGGGGGAGGAGATGAGGGGTGATTTGGTTGACCTATCATGGAACGATACGTCACATATCCAAATTGCCTGGTATCACATAGGAACCACGTATCACAAATATCTTGACTTGAGGATACTGACAAGGAGGCAGCACATACCACTCGGTAAAGAAGGTCGAAGGCCGATCTGGACTTCTCCTTCGGCCCAGGCAGCCAGAGGTCCAAGTAGCCAGCCGACCTGCCAATCTAACGACTTGTGAGGCAGATTGACCTTACTCGGAGTGACATGCCAATCGATTTTGAGTCGGGCAGTAGCACAACCCCACATAGCGTGGATGATCCCTTCCTCTGTATAACTCGAGGAGATCGGATGACGAATGCCGCCAATGTGGAAAGAACATGCCCTGAAGATAACAGGCAGATGAGATCCAACATCCATGGATATTTTAGACACAGAACCGAGTTCCAACACCTATATAAAGGATTCGACTTTCTAGTTTTGTTGTTTTCTTCCATTCATCGTTGACTTAAGCATCGAAGTGTCCACCCCGGGTACTCTGACATTATTCTCTTACAGCTCGGCCTATCGACTTCATCAACCTGACGTCTAAGTTGTCCTCCAACAAGGAACTACTGGATTGCTCACCATTAGGATACCCTTTCCTATCAAAATAGAGAGAGAGAAAGAGAGACAGAGAGAGAGAGTGATGCTTTTCTAAAAGCAGTAGCAATATAGCCCAATACTCAATGAGAATTTTTCCAATTTCCCAACCAGGTGATAAAGGAAATGAATAAGCTAAAACGCAAGTTCCTATTGGAGAACAAAAAATACCTCTCTGCTAAAAGCAGTAGCAATATAGCCCAATACCCGATGAGCATTTTTCCAAGTGATCAAGGAAATGGATAAGCTAAAAGGCAAGTTCCTATTGGGGAACAAAAAAACACCTCTCTGCCTAGAAAAATAGCAAATCATGACCAGGCTTCAAACAAATGGTTTATTACGGGTTAGGAACTTGGAATGGAGCAACAATGTCAGCCTAATGAAGATAGGATGGAGGATATATGAGACGAAATGTGCTTAGAAGTAGTGAAAAGCAAATTTCCTTCAGAGGTAAGAGCTAAAAAAGAGGAGTTGTTGGATCCGAAGGGTGCTTGCTATCAAATACAGAATTTGAAAAAATGATTGATGTGGCAAATAGGAAATTGTTACGGTTTGACACTTAGCCGCTTGGTGGGCTTACGTTAAGGGATACCATCGTCATTTTCGCCTGTAAGATTTTTGGGAGAATTGATGTTATCTTCAGGCAGATCACCAAAAGCTTAACGTACTCTTTAAGAAGGGGTGGTCGACCTCCTTGGGTGCCTAACCTTGGCATTCCTAGACCAACTTCCCTTGCGGGGCGGACCTGGTTAATGGCTAGCATGGCTACCAGGGTTCCTCATGGGCGCACACATGCTCATGGGGACAGTGCATGGACCGGCACTGCGCTACCGACACTCAAGGGAGGCTTGGCATGCGGGCCTGGCTCAAGCATGACCCTTCACCACGCCAGCCCTTGCCCAAGATGAATGAGCTATCCGGTTGCCCATAGCGCACGGGTGTGTTCCGGCCCAAGCGATTGCCTCTCATGATGGCACACAGGTGCCCACATCATCGGCATACAGGAGACCCATCACATCGGTGCCCAGTCACCTCTCTTCGGCGCACAGTCGCCTCACATCATGGCCTTCCCCCTTTAGCACGTAAGAGGCGCCTCCCATGGACCGGCCAGAGCCAGCCGAGTGCCCCGGCCATGCGACTTGAGGTCATGATCCAGTGCTACTAACCTTGGTGGAGCCATCTCATCAGGCAACTCCTAGCCTTGCATCACACAAAGGCTTGTCCTGGCCTATAGGGCTGTTCATAAGAAGACCCAACCCGACCAAACCAACCAACGCGAACCGACCCAACCCGAGTCGGCCGGGTTTTCTTCAGCACCGGTCGGTTTCGAGTTGTAAAAAATCATATACCGATGGTTCGGGTCGGTTTTGATTTTCATATGTGAAAACCGAAATCGACCCGAACCGAACCGACTTAGTAGTTAGTAGTTAGTTCCTAGTTAGTAGTTACAACCTAATTAGTTCCTACTTAACTAAGTTGTCTCTATCATAATTACAACCTAACTTAATTTATAGTCTTTTAGTTAGGAATGACATTAATGGCAAGTATTGTAAGACAACTAGACAATGAATTTTTTTGGAAAAGTTTAAAGAAAAGAATAAAAGGATCCTAGTTTTTATGGTCTTTTACACCAAATAGGCAACCAATTACAATTAGAATTAGGTGTCCTTTTTTACTTAGATTAGAAGGTTTCTTGAAATATACAAATTTTAGTCTTCTTTCTCTAATATAGTTTGACTTTCTATTTTCTTGATAACTTTTATTCTAACTTGGTCCACCCCCTACCAATTACAGTCTTCTTTCTCTAATAGAATTATGTGTCCTTTTTTACATCAAATTTCAGTCTTCTTTCTCAAATCTACCAATTTATTACCATGGTTGAACTTAGAGCCGAAACCAACCAAAACCGACCCAACCCGACTCAAACCGACCAGGTCGGTTTTGTTTAACACAGGGTCGGTTTCAGTTTCAATTTCAGGTAACCCGACCAGGTCGGGTCGGTTGGAAAAATCTCAATAAACCGACCCAACCCGACCCGTGAACAGCCCTACTGGCCTACCTTGGCTTGGACGCCGCACGAGTTTCTTCCGCGGTAGAACTACCCCCGTGACAGTTGGTATCAGAGCAAGCTAGCCAACTGCTGCCGCAGTTGGTATCAGATCATATTAGCTCAGAGCCAGTTGAAGCAGTCATCTCGACAAGCAGTACATCATGGGGTGTGGTCCCTAGCACTTCCACTCGGGTTCAAGCAAGCAGCAGTGCATATCAGGTCTGGCAAGAGGCCATTCCTCATGTCCCCTTTCCAATGACCCTAAAACAGCGCCCTTGTGGGGGTAGACGCATTGGTCGCTGTACTCATGCGGGGGCAGACGCGTGAGCCTTTTCATGGAAGGCATATTGTGGTAGTTTGAGTGGGGGAGTGCCATGCTTCCTCATGGACATCGGTTGTTGTTCATTTTAGTGAGTTGTGGGCGGTGCGCCTACATCTTGGTCTCATGACGGATGGGCCATTGTTCCATAGCTTTGCCTGAGGCACTACTAAGGCAGGGACAGCAATCCGAAATTGGTTGGTGTCGACGGTTGGTCAAGGAATATCACTAAAGTGGCAGTTTTGTACAAAACGGGTCCTTGGTTGAAGCCACAATATTGGAATGATAGGAATGTGGGTACACTAGCCGTTGGAACATGGCGGCCCTACACAGGCAAAGCATCGGAGGACATGCTCAGTTCAACAACAAGGCGGAACACTTGCGCAGCAGCAACAGCTCATCACAAGGCGAGTGCGTGTTCGGCAACATCATGGGTAAAAGTTGCCACCACTCGCACACAAAGCGGTCAGATCTCCATGA